TGACTTTTGAATGTATGCCCTTGACATTTCAGAGCTGCAATATCTTTGAAAAAAAATTCCAAATAAACTATAGTTTTGATCTTTACGCTTAATTTTTTGTCAAAAATCAAGAAATTGGTGATTATCTTTAAATGATAGACCATGCAGCATTCACTTTGACAAGTGAATTTACTGTTAAAAACCCCTTCTGGATGTACTACATGTATGGGTTATGATATCACTACCTTGATTTAAACAATATTTATTCAGAACACTGAGTAGATTTGGCAACAGGCAAACTACAAGGTCATGGGTAAAAATACAATGAACCGAGTTGATATAAATTAATAAATTTAAACAACACGGGTAGAAACACACTCTCTCTCTCTCTCGCAATCCTTTCACTCACCCTCCCTCATACACACAAGCACAACTGTATCACAAGATCCAGGTAAAAAATAGCATACATGCCAAATACCAAATAATTGTATCTAACGTTCAACAAAAAGAAAATGTATCAAGTTGGAGTGTACCTAAAAACGTTTTGTTACTCTGATATATATTCCTGTACATCATTTTAATATGTTGAAGTTCGTTTGACAGGAAAACTCCGAACTGCCAATAAAAGGATCTTAAGCTCAAATAGAACACCAAATTCAAAAAAATTTTTCCTTGGTTTGTTTCTGTGTGTCCTATATGCTGGACAATTGATAAAAAATATTAATTATCTTCATTATGGTTATCACACTTTGAACAAGATGTATCAGTTATTATGTAGTGAATTTTAAAGTCTGTATTGAGGTTAGTAGCTTTATTACGTAGTTGACAATGAAGTATATACTCTTTTCTGTTACCATAATTGAAATATTTATAGCTAAGTCAGGTTGTTTCACTACCTTAATGATACGCCAAAAATCTCCAAATGGCGAAATTGAATTTGCATGTAATACTCTCATTATCAAAGATAACATAATAAAAGTATACATGTACAAGTATTTAATTTTAAAGCTATCAAAATTACTATTTTAATTATCCTAATTAATTTTTTTTATCTTATTAAAGAAACATTTATAAATTTTGATGTACATTTTAGTGCATCAATATTCTTTAAATCGACTATTTTGTATTCTACCCCTTATTCACAAGAATGGAAGGTTCTTTTTCTGTTTGTAGGTGCTTTTAATTAACATGATTAAGGAAATCAAGTTCCATTTTGAATCAGAAAAAATTCCCGGCAAAGGTCATTAGTGACCTGTCAGATCCTCTTCCCTAAATCTAGAGTCCCTATAGTTTAATTACCAATAACCTCTGTGTAGCTAGTAAAGAACTCCCCAAGTGGTCACAGTGATTTATTGCTTCTTTCATGTACAGACATTCACAGATCAAATCAGAAGCTTCAATAACTGAATATTCAAATGTGGTAGTGTATATGTTTCATTATTCTTAAATACTATGAAAACCATTTTATAATCAGCAAGAATTTTTTTTTATTATAAAGCAATAAATAACTTCCTTTTCATAGGCAAAATAATAGAATTGACGAAAATCTCGAAAAAGCTCTTGGTGTATACGTAAATTTAAGTAAAAAATTTTTTTGCTTTTACTGCTACTCGCTCTTATTCACTTTTATAAATAAAATTATGTTTGTGTAATATTGGTAATCTGGCAAAGTTCTATATCATACAGATCAATTTAATTTAAACAATGTTTTATTATGAATAAACATAATAGGATTGGACAGCAGATGGTTGATCATACAGATCAACCATCCAAACATAACGTAACACAGGTGTTGTTTGAATATTTTCATTTATTAGATGATAATAAGTCAAATTTGATTTTATATAATGATAATAAGGGGAGTTACAGACAATGCTGACAGCAGATTGTTTTTATAAAAATCCCTGAATCTCCCATTACAAAATTAATCCTTGACAAAATAAAATACATACAAAAACAATTCTCCCTGAACTATCTACGAATAATATTTAATTACATGTATATACAAAACAACAACAACAACAACAACAAAAAAAAACATTTAAGAAACATTTAAATGAGAGAAGGTAGAGCTTTCATTTTTTATACACTCTTTTTCTATCATAACACCTTACAGAGATTTATAAATATTGACTTGATGACCGACTTAGAAGCTTGACATACATATTCAAATTTTAAAGGTTGGCAATACATTTTCTCCAGTAAAGACGCAACTTTTATAATATTTTCATATATGCATTTCATGTACTTGTGACAAAACCTTGCAGGCTATACTACATGTATGATAATTATTTGACCCGTTGTCCTTGATTTTGAAGTTTACATAAGTTGAAAAAACATAATTATTCCCCATAACTTTTATTTATTAAAGAAAATTAATCTGTTTTACGTATGATGGACAGGAAATGTTAAAGATGACACATAGACAAGACAGTTACGTTTACAATGTACTATAAACCAGCATTTCAACCTCTAAGACACCAAAAGCGGGGGCTTTAATTCTTTGAATTTGCTTCCTTCTTATTACTTTGCACTCAGTTCGTCTCCTTGATTCTCATAAGTATCAGCATGAAATACAATATCATAATATACCAAAGGCTGGATTCCCCGGCCCCTTGTATGTCATGTAGATACTTGCTAGTTATAAAAATATGCAATTGATCATTTAACTTCATACATGAACAGACAACAAGCCGCCATTGGCCTCCGCATATTAAACGTTTATAACAAATTATAGATATTTATTTTTTTTATAATTATATGTCTGCATAGATTTTATAAAGTAGGACCATGCAATACAAGTTTAATATAATTATGATAAACGTTGCAATATTCGGTACACTGGTTACATCATAGACGTCTCGTATTAGTGAATATGAAGATGGGAAAGTTATACAATAAAAAACGAAATAATAAAATATAAATGGAAAAATAATAAAAATAAAAAAAAAAACAATGGAAAATCATAAAATTCAAATGTAGAATCGTAAAATACAATGAAAAACGAAAATCATAAAATATAAATGAAAAAAAACAAAAAAAAAAAAAAAACAATGGAAAATCAAAAAATTGAAATGAAGAATCGTAAAATAAAATCGTGAAAAAATATGCAAAATAAGTTCATAATAATATAAAACAGAAACGAAGTTTTACATGCCATCAAAAAGACGGCGCTTAAGAATCTATATAGGTTAACTTCCTTAGCTGCGATAAAATATATATATAAAAAAAAAGATCGTTATTTTCAATGGAAATAAAAGAGATAATATACGATGGATTTCAATATAATTGTAGGCTGGTTAGCAATTATACATCCTGTTGAGTTTTTTAGTTATTGGATTCTAGGAAGTTAAACTTCGCCTTACGCGGATTCCCTGACACCGTGTCCTTAGCTTCAACTATCAGCTCCGTTCCACCAAAGGTCATTTTAACCTCAATTTCCCTGTCATTGTTGGATTTCTCCAAATCTACCGACATTTTTCCTACGTAAGAACACGTATGATCGGTAGTATATTTAGGAAATCTTTCAGATGAAACGTAAATTGGGATGTCAACAGTATCAGAGTCTTTGTGTAAGGGTAAGTAACAACGGGGTTCAAGGGGCGTCCCCACTTCAACTGTTTCATTGACACCAACATGGACACTGAAGATATCTTTGCATTTATCAATGCCCCCAACTTTAATTTTTTTCTCCGGGGGATCGCCTGATTCAAAATTTCTATTGGATTGAACACCGTAAGTCCATTTTGTCTTTCTTGAAACAATTGTTTTAGGATTATGTCCAAAGAGCACGGCGCCCTTCACGATAGCCAATCCAGCTTCTTCTGGTATGATGATTCTGTTATTCTTGAAATTGTTTTTAATTGCTTCTTGAATAAGTTTGCATTCAGAAAATCCACCAACCATTAAAATGTTTTCTACCCCGTCGCAAAACGGATGTGCAAGGAGTTCCTTGACATGATTAACAATACTTTCAGAACAATGTTTAAATAGTTCATGAACCATTTCCCCGGTCATGCGTAGCTTGTCTCCTGTCCACATTAGCTTGTCTTTGTGCCTCGTCTGCGAAATTGTTGATTTTAAGTCTTCATCATATTCTTCCTCAAAAATATCTACCAATGTTACTGGGATTCGAAAAGTGATTTTTTCTTTGACATTAGTGGACACAGATCGCTTTTTAGTTTCAAATTCCCGAACGAGTTCAAGGTTATCGGCGGGATGACATTTTTTGAAATTTGACATAACCGGACTTCCAACGATGCCCATAATCATTTGGATGAAGGCTTCGTCGATTTTGGTCCCTCCCCACGCCCCTCCACTTGCTTTGTGGAGTTCCTTGAGGGTATAATCAGACAGAACCTCTTGAACTGTTACATCAACAGTCCCTCCTGAAAATAATAGTTTTCGATGGAAAATCATACAAAGTGAATAAATAAAAGTTATGGTAAAAAATTTAAAAAAATATGATATAAAAAAAGAATTATTATTTAGCCAAAAGGACATAAAAAAGAAACTTATAATTAAGAACATTGCACAAAAAGAGAAAAAAAATACATAAATCCTTAGCAATTTGTAGTACCTCCCAAATCCAGCACCATGAAGCGAGTTCCGGGTTGAAACATGGACAGATTTGTACAGCTTGCTGTGGAGAGTCTCTCTAGAGGTAACATTCTGCAGTACAGAGCTGCTGCTTCCGGCTCAAGCGCAAGGCTTAAATTCTGGCTCTTAATACCTGCCTGGAGTTTAATTAAAGACGATATGTTCATATTAAATAATTTCTTTAACTTAAACTTTTTTCGTTTAGAAAAGACACCGTATATCATTAATTAGTATGCGTAGTATAAACCATAAAGAATCAATTTCAAACTCTTAGCCATACATGTACTAGTACCTCTTTTGCTGCCTCTCTCATAAATTGTTTAGATTTATCATTCCATATTGCAGGGATCGTCAGAACCCAGTGAATGTAATCATCTTCTTTGATCAAAGCGTCCAGTCCTTTTACTTTAAGGTGGTTGAGAAGGTGATCTTTCAGATACCGTATGCCATGGGCAAAAACTGTCATAGCAGGGAGCTTCTTTTGGCCACTTTCGTCTAATATAATTGTTTCACGGTTCAGAGTCTAATTCATAATTACAAAGAAACAACTGTAAATGCAACAAAGTGCTATCTTGATTATTAGAATTTACTGTTTTTCATCCGGTAAATCAGAATAAAATCTGTCTTAGAAATGTCTTGATTTTTAGCTCTACTGGTCAGAGACCAGAAGAGCTTATGCGATAGTAATGCGTCCGGCGTCCGTCCGTCTGTCCGTCTGTCTGTAAACAATTTTTCAAAATGCTACTCCTCCTACAGTTTTGGTCTAATTTCAATATAACTTGGCACACAAGTAGACTACACTAAGATACATAATTCTGTGTATCGGTTTTTGATTTCGATGAACGGTGTTGCCGTGGTTACTAAAAATAGAAATTTCTGTGAAATTGTTTCAAAATGCTACTCCTCCTACAGTTTTGGTCTGATTTCAGTATGACTTGGCACACAAGTAGACTACACTAAGATACATAATTCTGTATATCGGTTTTTGATTTTGATGAACGGTGTTGCCATGGTTACTAAAAATAGAAATTTCTGTGAAATTCTTTCAAAATGCTACTCCTCCTACAGTTTTGATCTGATTTCAGTATAAGTTGGCAAACAAGTAGAATACACTAAGATACATAATTCTGTGTATCGGTATTTGATTTCGATGAACGGTGTTGCCGTGGTTACTAAAAATAGAAATTTCTGTGAAATTCTTTCAAAATGCTACTCCTCCTACAGTTTTGGTCTGATTTCAGTATAACTTGGCAAACAAGTAGAATACACTAAGATACATAATTCTATATATCGGTTTTTGATTTCGATGAATGGTGTTGTCGTGGTTACTAAAAATAGAAATATCTGTAAAATTGTTTCAAAATGCTACTCCTCCTACAGTTTTGGTCTGATTTCAATATAACTTGGCACACAAGTAGAATACAATTCTGTGTATCAAATTTTAATTTTGATGAACGGTGTTGCCGTGGTTACTAAAAATAGAAATATCTGTAAAATTGTTTCAAAATGCTTGGCACACAAGTAGACTACACTAAGAACATAAAGAGACTTTATCAACGATCATTATTCTATTTAATGCTGTTTATAAAGTTTCAAATCCCAGCTGCTTAAGTACTTTCTCTTCCTTTGCTATATGTTCAAACCAGTAGAGCTTCAGTCTCGACAGAGACTTCTGGTTAAAATTTACTTCAATATTCTTATTATCCTAATTTCCTTACCATGTTATTATGTAACATCATCTTGAACCTCCGAAAGAAGTACCATGAATGATGTTTTTCTTCATTGGCAAGATCGGTGTACGTGTCTTCAGCCTCGTACCCGAACGAATGAAAACTTTGATCAGATTTCAGCAAAAGACACGTAGGAGTTTTCTGAGAAAACAAATTCTTGTGCCCAGATACCCATGTTGTATTGGCCATGATTTTTGTTTGATCCTTTTCGTATTCATCTTTGAAAGAGAAGGCATATCCAGAGTAGGTTGTACCAAAGTCGATGGCGGCCACTAAGACTTTTATATCTGTCTTTTGTTCCAGCGACATCCCTAAAATAGTATAAACTTTAAGGAGAAACTCTTCTTATATTTATTTTATGTTAAGATTTTTAAAAAAAATCACAGATTAAAGAGGACACTACCTCTAAGTGATGGTCTCAATAAGATTAAATTTGACCGTTTTATTTTTAGAAGGTAAAGTCAAAGTCATTATCTTTTACAGAATATACAGAATTTTACAACAAGTATAAAGAAAACAGTTAATAGTGATAAAGACTGAAAATTTTGATATGATTATCAAATAAAATTCTAAAAAAAAAAAAATGAAAATTTTCCTTTAATTATCAATATTGCATGACAGAAATTTAAATGTATTTACAGAAGTTACATCCCTTATAATTTTAATTGTATTTCACCTTCTAACTATGAGTCTGTAATAAAAGAATTACTGAATATTCTAATCTGCATTTTGCTAAGGAATAGTTGGAAGAATTTTGAGTAGAATATTGTGAAATATTGTCTCTTATGTGAGGTACTCTATTTTGAATGTAAATAGGAACTAAATTATTGTGCATCTTCTACGTTGTTTCTAGATCTAATGCCTCAACTTTTCCCAATTTTCTAAAGGTTCCAATGACCTTTTAGTAAGAGAGAAAAACGCTTTTTCACTTATGTTTTCCTCATATAAGTTCTTTGATTGGTTGATTGGAGGCATTTAAAAGCGCTCAAGATTGTTGTATATTTGTATAATTACATTTTCGTACGTCGCAGTTTCGTTATAAATGTTGTTCCTGCAAGATTTTAAACATGCCTCACCAATCTTAATTAAAGTTGTAAAATTATGAAAAAAGAAAGGAAATTGGGATATTTTAAATCCCTTACATCTTTATTTATGTCTTGTAAGCAAATATACTTCGCACATTTCATTTACCGGTAGTCAGAAACCAGACACTCGAAGAACTCCTTAAAAAAAAGATTGATTCATGTCGCACGAAATCTAAATGACATATTTTTAAGTCATTTGAGTAAAATCAGATGACCAATTGATATCTGTTTTTGTCCGTCGTCGTGCGTTAACATTTGAACATTTTCAGTATCTTCTCTGCAACCGCTCAACCAGTTTACACCAATTTTTGCATAAAGTATCTATGGGGGAAGAGGAAAAAAATTGTGAATTTCATGGTCCCTACCCCCCTGGGGCCTCAGGGGTAGGGCCAAATCCACTACAATAAATGTAGTGTTTATAAATCCTCTTCTTTACTCCTGGACATCAAGCAGTCAAACTGTTGGCATGATTATAATCAGCAATAAGTCCTCTACCAAAATTGTGAAATTCATGACCCCAGGGTCAGGGGTTCTAGTGCTAGGGCTAAATAGATTATATAGTGAAAATGCATTATTTATTTGAAAATCTTCGTCTCTGCTCCTGGACATTAAATAGACTAACCAAGTGCATAGTTATGTTAAATAAGACTGCCTCTTCCAAAATTGTGAAATTTATGGCCGCAGGATCAGGGGTTTTAGTGCTATGCCTGGGCTTTTTAGATTATATAGTAAAAATGCATTATTCTTTGAAAATTTTCTCTGCTCCTGGGTAATTAACAAACTAACCAAGTACATAGTTATTTGGAATAAGGCTGCCTTTTCCAAAATTGTGAATTCCATGGCTCCTGGGTCGGGGGTTCAGGTGTTAGGGTGGGCTCTATTGATTATACAGTGAAATACATTAATTCTTTTAAAATCTTCTTCTCTGTTCCTGGATAATAAACAAACTAACTAGGTAGATAGTTGTGATGACCAAGAATGCCTCTTCCAAAATTTGGAATTTCATGGCTTCAGGGTCAGGGGTTTTGGTATTAAGCAGGGGGCTCTAATGATTATATAGTGAAAATGCATAAATTCTTTAAAATCCTTCTATCTGCTCCTGGGTATTAAACTAATAAACTATGTACATAGTTATGATGAGGAAGGATGCTTCTTTCAAATTTGTGAATTTCATGGCCCCTGGGTCAGGAGTTCTGGTGTTAGGGCGGGGCTCTAATGAGTTTATAGTGAAAATGCTTGAATTCTTTGAAAATCGTTATCTTTGCTCCTGGGTATTATGCCAATGAATTAAGTACATATTTAATATGGTTAATTTCAGGGCGCCTGAATCAGGGGTATGGGGGTTGGTTACATTGTCTGAAAATAAATTAATGCTTTGAAATCTACCATTTATGATGAAATAAGATTTATGATAAAATTTCCAAAAATTTTGAAATATATGGCCCCAGGGTCAGTGGTTCCTGAGGGCTGGGATGCACAACTGGTTACAAAGATAAAGTGGAAATGCATTTTCTCTTATCTACCTCTGCGTATTAAGTACCAGAGTAAGCATGCTAAGTGTATAATAGTTATGATAAGCAATGCAATGGTGTCTCTTTCAAATTTGTGAATTTCATGGCCTCTGGTTTAAAACACCAACCAAATTCAATTGTTGGAAAGTTGTGACATATAATGCTCATGTGACCTTAAAGGCCCGTACCTGGACCTCTTGTTTTAAATTCTCAAATCAGCCAAAAAAGATCAAAATAGCAAATTCCAAGCGTAAACTCATTCAATTATGTGATTTTTAAATTTATAAGACTTTTTAAAACTTTATTTTTTGATTTATGATGACTCCACGATAATGTAGATGATTTATAAACAGGTATTACGAGAAGGTAAAACTAATAATATGATAGATTTTAAGCAAAAATGCGCCTTTGGGTTTTTTTTAATATTAAAAAAAAAATCAGTGATGGATAAAATTTTGACAGGTATTTTTAACGGTTTGTTTGTAGGTCAAAATATGACAAATTTTATGGTACTGAGATTAAATGAGAAACATATCTTATTTAATTCTTGATCTCTCCACAAAAAGCATCATAGCTGAAAGAAAAATCTACCATGTTTGTCAATTAAGGGCCCATATGCAATCTTAATTATCTGACTATTTTTTGTTCCAATGCTTAAATCATATAAGGTATTTGATTGTCGTTCTTTTTTTTTCAACATAGTGTAAACATGCATTAAAGTAAATACAAAATAAATAGAATAATAATTAAAACTAGTGCTAATTGTAACGGGAACCGTTACAGATGTTCCCCAAACGCTCCCCAACTCCCTTCTCGTGCCATATTCCCTGTAATTTTCATTAAAGAAGGCAAAATCTATGCATTTAAGACGTAAATAACGTTTTCCCAAAAGTATACCAAGTATTTCAAATTTAAGCAATGCAGGCGTGCGCATGTGATTGCATGAGCGTTCTGACGATATCATCTTGTCTACACTATTTTACTCATATGCACCTGCACGCACGTGCATGATGACCATACCTTCTTGTAGGAGTTCATTATGTCTGTCTATGTTCTTAATCCCATCCTGTTTGGTTGAAAAACAAGGGAGATATAGCCATTTAAAGTTTAAACCAATCAGATTGCAGCGCACGTGCATGTGCGTGTTTTCATGACAATTATTATATATCTTATTGTAGTACATCTTAAAGTATGCATATGTTTTAAATTTCAAAGCATTTTGTAAAAAAACAGAAAAGATATTGAGATTTTTGTTCCAGCTAATCAGAGCAAAACGCACGTGCAAGCACGTGCATGCATGTAAATGGTGACCAAACCGTCTTGTAGGAGTCCTTCATGTCTATCTATGTTCTAAATCCCATGCTGTTTGGTTGAAAACCAAGGGAGTTATAGTCATTTAAAGTTGTAGCCAATCAGATTGCAGCGCACGTGCATGCGCGTGATTTCATGAAAAATTTTATATATCATATTATAGTACATCCTAATACATGTCTATGTTATAAATTTCAAAGCATTTCATCATAAAACTAAAAAGATATTAAGATTTCCGTTTCAGCCGATCAGAGCAAAGCGCACGTGCATGCGCGTGAGTTCATGCAAATTTGACCATGTCATCTTATCTACACAACTTATATATCTTTATATAATGAATTTCAAAACATTTTATCAAAAAATATAAAAGTTACAACCATATTAAATATATCAGTCAGTTTACTCATTGCACGCGCCCGCACGTGCATGCGAATGCGCGCAAAATGACCTTGTTCCAAATCCCATCCTGTTTGTTTGAAAACCAAGGGAGTTATAGCTATTTAAAGCATAAGCCAATCAGATTGCAGCGCACGTGCATGCACGCGTTTTCAAAATAATTGCTATATATCTTATTGTAGGACATCCTAATGCATGTCTATATTTAAAATTTCAAAGGATTTCGTCAAAAAACAAGAAAGATATTGAGACTTTAGTTTCAGCCAATCAGAGCAAAGCGCACGTGCATGCGCGTGAGATCTTGCTTTTTTGACCATGTCACCTTGTCTATGCTTCTAATATATACTTCTAATATGAGTTTTAAAGCATATCATCAATAATTTAAATAGTTACGTCTGTATCAATTATAGTGGACATTTCTCGTGTTGCACGTGCGAGCTCTTGCAAGCACACGTGCATGCACATGCTTTCATGATATTTCTTTTATTACGGGCTGTAGATCTCCCTAATGTATGACTATGTTCAAAATTTCAAATGATTTTATCAAAAAACAAGAAAGATATTGAGACTTTAGTTTCAGCCAATCAGAGCGAAGCGCACGTGCTTGCACGTGCGATCTTGCTATTTTGACCATGTCATCTTGTGCATACTACTCATATATCCTTACATTATGAGTTTCAAAACATTTCGTCTAAAAATAGAAAAGTTACGGCTATATCCATTATATATTGGTCATTTCAAGTTTTGCACGTGCGCGCTCTTGCAAGCACGTGCGCGCAAAATGACCTTTATTCCGCAAATCTACATAACATGCCTACTTACCCTAAAAAGGTTTCCCCTTAATCGGATGTGTACTTTACAAGATCATTCGCGGACAAAATTTTCCCGAGAAGAAAAATAATAATAATAATAATAATAATAATAATAATAATAATAATAATAATAATAATAACTAGTGCTAATTGTAACGGGGACCGTTACAGATGTTCCCCAAACGCTCCCCAACTCCCTTTT